AGCTGCTGTGAAGTTTTAGCTGCTGTCTGTGAGGAAAGGTAAATCTTTTAAAGGGGTGATGTGGTCAGGGATTTCTTTTCAAATTTCTGCTTACCATCCTTACTGTTTTACATTTTGAGTTTCTTATGTAGGTCTCAAAATGAACTAATGCAAGTGCATTGAAATACAACATGTGTACTGCTGGCTAGAAACAAGTTAAGATCAATCTGTAGATTCACAGCCTCTGTCATTTGTGACTGGTTGTCACGTGGATGAAAATGAGCTGGCTGAGCTGCTGACTGGGTAAGGATTGATATGTTTGGAGGATAGCAGTAAAAGAAAATTACTTTTCTAGTCTGATAAAGAGCATGTACCCTAGAGACACCATGTGTAGTTTTTTTGATCTAGTAATTCATTTGGCTTAGTGACTGCTTCTGTATCCATAAAAACATAAAAGCACAAGAACTCACTACTTTTTGCAAAGGATTTATGTCCCTTTTCCCAGTCAGTAGTAGACTTATTTTCTGGTAGTGTTACCTTTGTAAAGGTTATGGCCATGTGCTAAGTACAGGATTAAATCTATGAGCCGCTTGCGTAAGGTAACCAGTGCTGAGCACGATCTATTTAGTGGGTTGGCTGCTGAGTTCCAGATGAGGTTTTCAGTTAGATTCTAGTTGCACATCAGTGTCATGGTTTTGCCTTTTCTCAGGGGGAAAAAGGCTTTCAACTCTTTGTGATCTCCTGCTGAGTGACTAACTTCATGCTGTCTGGCATTAAACAAAGTGATCAGAATGTAACCAGATACCTGTATGGACATTGTGTTCCGGGTACTGTGAAGGACACTGAACTCCATAGTGTTCCCAGGCTTTGTCCTACAAAGTCACAAATACATAAATTCCATTAGTGTTGTTACAGGGGTGAATTGTTGTTCTTTTCTATTAATTTTTTTCGTAGGTAAGTCTTGAAATGCTTTTATGGTGCACTTTTTTGGATTAAGAAAATGTGCACTTTAATTATTATTTATTTATGCTATTGTACACTTAATTTAAGGCAGCTTTTATTTGTATGTACTGTAACAATAATATCTGTATTAACTGATGTGATAGTCACAGTTCTAGCTTCAGAGTGATTGCAGTCTTTCAAGCCAGTTCCTTGATGTGGCTAATTAATTTTGAAGTTGGAATATATGCTAAATTATCTCTGAATTCAAGAGAGACCATCATTGAAAGTCTTCAAATTTGAATAATAGGGGTAAAACAATTGTTTGAACCATACACTATTTTCAAATCCTCCTATTTTTCCTATGGTCTTGGGCAAGTTGTTTCTAGTTTTCCATTAGCTTGTTTGTAAAGTAGTTTCTCATATGATGGGAGGTCTCTGAAGTACAATTGCAATAGTTAAGACAGTTTAGCTCCTTTGAAATGTTGTAATTATTCTAAATCTTCTGAACTACAATTTTTTAAAGTGCATTTGGTACTTTTTTCTTTCCAAAGCATTTGGAAAATGGAAACTGAAAGTGTTACCCAGAAGTAGTAGTAATAATATTTTCATTTTCTGTATTGAATACTGCAGCTGGAGATCAACCACTGAGTACAACTTTTTGGGGCAAGAGAACAGAGTTTTCCTTTGCACAGTACAAATTAAAATATTGACATTAACCTTAAGGATTGCACAGTGGGATATTTTTTGGTGAGGGAGAACTTGATCTTGAAGAGCAAGTTTTTATAGTGGAGGAATGTTCTCAATATTTGCTGGTATGCATGAGGACCTTTGTGTTTGGGTGCTGCCTATGGCAGTCTGAAATACTAGTTTGGAAGTATTCAGGTGGGCAGTATCTCATATTGGCAGTGTTTTTTTGGTAAAAAGTTAATCCCTCCTAGAATAACATGAATTGTAGTATTTCTGAAACCAGAAACAAGGCTGATTTTAATCTTTAACCCCTAATTTTGGATAAGGGAGCTTGAAGCATAGAGAAGCCTTGTAGTGGTGTGATGCAATGCTTGTTTTGTCAGGCAAATTCTTCTGCATCAGTTTTGAAAAGCATTAATCAAAATTGTTAACTCACAGCTTCCTAAGGTATGCTTTCCCTCTAAGTTCTGCTTTGCTGTATTTTTTTGTTCAGGTTAGCAAACACATTGCTGCCATTAGCTTGGGGTAGCTGTTTGATACAACCTGCTTGATTACACCTTGATCTGTGCCACTTGCTTCCTGCCTGCAAACTCCCTTACAGCTGGAGGTTAAGACCTTCAAGTTAGTTGACCAGTTCCTGAGACAGTGTTACTGCAGAGCAGATAAAAACAGTTGTGAACAAAGACCTTGCTTTCTGCTTGGCTATCCCTGCCATTGGTGCTTTTTACCTCATACCAGAGCTGTGTGGTTTGTGGTTATTGTTTGGATTTGGTGCTAACTTGATCATGCTTGCTTCACTCCGGTAAAAAATGTACTGATATAGGATCTGTCAGAAAAGGATTCGTAAAAACTTTCCTGCTGTGTAATTCTGTACAATTTCTTGAAATGTGTTCAGAGTTCACTAGAGTTTTTCTGAAATGAAATATAAGTACTTCTCCCTGTCTCAAGTGTTTCATGAGAGCATTGGTCTTTAGGGAGTTGAACAGTGTACTTACCTGTCACACACACCGTTTGATATTATTTATTGAATTGGTACAAGTAGGGAAATAGCTAATAAAGTACCTGTGTATTCTTTTCTTTCTTCACTGAATAACTAGAATTGTGCATTCATCAGATGGCATTGGCTGACTTGCTTTTGAAGTTTCAAATAAATTTCTTTCTTTTTCAAATTATCTTGAATGGGTAATATTATTAGCTAAAATACCACTTGGTGGACATCGTTTGGAATTAGCTATTATATTTCCATAATAAGGACAGTTAACTTTGGAAAAGTTATAGACTTGCATTCCTGCCAAAGCAAGTAAATAGTATTTAAAAGAGGCTGTGTTGATGGTTTCAAAGCCATTGGTAAAAAAATTGTCAGGTCAAGAATACAATCTTTTTGCAGTTCTTTATCCTTGCCACCCATTTATTATAAAAAAGCATTTAATTGTCCCTATTTTTTCTCATTTTTTTTACAAAGCCTAGTGTTTTAGAGCTATCTGGGTTGCAGCTCAGTAAGACTCCCTCCTTTTCCCACATGCTGTAATACCTTAGGTTGTTGGATTGGTTAGGATTTTTTTAAAGCATATTTCATAATTTCCCATTTGTATCTTAAATTCCTGCATGGAGTGGCTGTCTATCAAGTGCTGACAGCGTTGCCATGGTGGTGGTGTTCAGCAGTGCTGCTGAAGGCAGTGTGTGCCAGGTGTCATGCCTGGTCTCTGCAATGACCTTCGCTCTGTGAAGTTCTGAGTAGCTGGAGGGAATGCTTTGTGTGGAGAACTAGTTCAAGGGTGGCCATATCAGTGTGGTCCTGTGCCTGGCTCAGTAGATGTGCCAAAAGAAGGATGTGATGCAGTGCTGTAGTGACTACATTGCTTTGGGATTCCAGCTGATAGTTGTGCACGGGATTGTTTGTGCTGCATAGTTTAAACCTAACCACAGTTTAAATGATCAATTTTCTATGTCCAGAGCTGGTTTTGGTTCTGCAGACAATATAATTTTGTCTTCACTGTTTCTGTAAGCGCCCTGTGTTAATACTTTGCAGTGTATGGAAATCCTCTGCATAGATAGAAGGACCATGTATAAGAGGGGATGGGCGTTTACTATTTACTGTTTAAAATTTGGACTAATTAATGAAATCAAAAACAATTCCTGTGAGATAAGGTATGATCTTATTACCTGTGAAGTTACACATGTTTTCATGTGTAGTTGGAAAACATCTAGAATTGTTAAAATTTTATTTCAAAAGGTGTATGTCAGTGTTAACTATAGACATGCATTGAGGGTTTAGCTGCTACTGAAAATTACTGAGAATAATGCTTGCCTGTGTTACGTACAATATGTGTAGATGGCTATTATTTCAAGTTCTCATCTTGTCCCCATATTTTTCCCACTTAGTCACTTCTCTTCCTGTGAATTTTGGAGGGAGAGGGTCTGGCAGAAGTTGGGAAACAGGCTGAAGCTGGCAGGACACAGGCTTGGAGCTCAAAGCCAGAGAGGCTGAAACGAGTGCAAATTGAGAATCTTTCTGTGTGGCAAAACAAAATTATTTGGGACTGGAAGAAGGGCTAACTGAGGTCTACCATGAATTCCATGGAGAATTTGGATAGGGGATTGTGGATTGCTGAATTGTGACTGGTGAGTCTGCAAAGGGACATCAACTCTGTGGGCATTAATGCCTACCAGCATCTGTCACTGACAGCTGAATCCTGCAAAAACAGTGTTGTAGGCTGGTTCTGTTGTATCATGAAAGCTTCAAGATTCTACCTGCTTTTCTTGTTCTTTTGGTGGTCTCTCTAAATCACTTCAAGCTGTGATTGTTTAAAAGGGTAGTACAGTGTTTGGGCTGAACATTTTCTCATACTCTGGCTTTGTACATCAGAGCTCTGAGTTTCACATGCTGTGTAGGGATCTGTCAATAGCCGGTGCTTATTATATAATTGGTTTAAAATAGTAGTATTTCAGAAATAAAAATGGCTTGAGAGTGGCTCATAAAATCAAGAGAAAAGATTGCCATTCCCAGATATTTCTAGGACAGTTTTCCAGGCATGGGATACAACTGCAGTGTTTTCAGTTGTGGACAGTAACCAGGAATTTCAGGGAAAGTGTCTTCCAAAACTGTGTTTTTAGTTATCTGCAGATATTATGCCTGTTTTTAGAGAAAAGTGAATATAGGTTAACTAAGGTTTTTTTATGAAGTTTTCGTTTGGGAACTGTAAGGTCTTTGTTAAAAGGAAACTTGCTTTTCTTATCAAAGTGTAATTTATGCATAAAAGTAGATTGGCTTTCAGCTTCTTCATCCAGACCAAATTAAGTGTTTCATCATTATACTTATATTGATTGGTGTAATGTAAGTCAGAGCTAAATATATTTTTCTTTCTCTCTTTTTTTTTTTCATGTGTGTACAGAAAAGATGAAAAGGAGTATGCACTGAAGCAAATTGAAGGTACAGGGATATCCATGTCGGCCTGTAGAGAGATTGCAGTAAGTGTACATAAACCAAAGTAATTTTACTGGCATTATTACTCAACACGTACTTTATTTTCCTAGAATTAAGTAACATAAAGATTATCCAAATGTTGTCTTTAAAGTATGTAAGCATTATTCAGATCTGAGCCTTTTTAAGAAGTGTTTAAAATAATAATTTTCTTTTAATTCTTTTCAGGTAATAGCAATGCCTCTTTCTGATAAATCTTCTTTCATCTTGTTTTATGTGTTGAGGGGGAAATAAATGTGAACTTCTAAATGAAGACTTACTTTAAAAAGGAATGTTTTTAAACTGACGTGAAAGAAAAAGGTTCTGAAAGATTACAAGTACCATCTGAAGTCCACTTACTAATGATGTATTTTATTTTAGACTAATGGTAACTTGTTGTTCTTTAGTATCTGAGAACAGTTTGTTCTCCTGATTTTTAATTTGTTTTACCAAGTACAAAGAAGTTTCATAGCAAAACGAAAAACAGCTTTAATTATATTTTTATTACATGTCTTTTATTGCATACCTATCATTCCTTCAAATTTGGTAAAAATTGTTTGTAAATAAAGGTAGAATTTGATCTTTAAATGTTTTTTATGTCTGAAAATGTGCATAACTGACAAAATACTGGATACTGAATAAAATTTTCTAATGTGTTTCTTGCATTGCAAAAGAAGTGCACTTGCTTGATTAAATATTTACCTTGTCTTAATGCTGCCACTATGCAGTCAGCTGTTAAAATGTGTTTTAGGATTGTGCCTAAAGCTTTTTATAATCTGGTAATGTTGCCTTAAAATACAACATCCAGTTGTGCAATGCAATGTGAGACAGAAACTTATGGTGTCCATGAACTGAACAAACTACTGGGTTGTGTTTAGTGTAGTGTCCATGGTGATTCTGTATGAAGAGACTTAACAGATAAAACTGCTGTCCTTTTAAAGTACTTATCACTGTAAGGTCAAGGTTTCTTGTGGATTTGAGAAGTGGCTGCATTGCTGTCAGTCACTTTACACAGGATTTACCCAGTGACCTTTTTTTGCTAGTATTTCTGCCTTTGGAGGAAATAGGAAATCCTCTTAACATCTGTATTCGGTTATATTCTTGGAATTACAAAGTCATTTTTTACAATATTGAGGGGTTTTTGTTTTTTTGATCGTTATCCTTTGTTTTAAATTGTGCTGCTGTGAAGATGTGTGGATTAGTCTGAAGGAGACTTTCCTGTGGGCATGGTAGCACTGTGATATGGTGCTGGTTCTGTCTACCTGGAGACAGCAATGTAAGGAAGGAGAGAATGTCAAATTATGTTTTAACTCTCATGATACATAATTTTATTTTTTTTTTAATTAGTTAAGCTCTGTACAAAGGTTAGTACAGCTTGTGAATTTTGGCATCTACTGTGTAAGTTACTTGACTGCTTTCAGTGGTTCTTCTGGTAATTATTCCATGAGTTATAGTTCATTCTTCTTCTTCAAACCTTATTATAAAACTCTGTGACCTGAGCTAATGCAGCATATCAGCATTTGCCTCAGTGAAATTTCAGGTAAAATACTAGAAATGTGAAAAAGGTAAAGGTGAAATAGTTGAAAAAAAAATTACAATGTTTTTGTCATATGGAAACAGACCAAAATCAAGTGCATTTTCCATAAAAAGAGGTGGATTTCTAAATAATGCATCAATAGCTTATCTTGTAGTTAAAGGCTTAGATAGGTGACAAAGAGGGTCATGTTTATTGATTAAATAAAGATTATCAGCCTGGACAGAGGCCATTTTAAAAATGTCATGGGTAGTTCTTTTGTCATTTAACCCTTCCACTTTGCTCCAGCAGCAAAACAAACCCAAATCCCACTTTGGAAGATGAGAAAATGACAGGGCACCAGTGTACCTGGTTTTGTGTGTATATGTTCAGAGTGTTTTAATAGTTTTGTAAACTTTATACACTTGGCATTGTACTCAAGAAATACATTGCTGAACTGAAAGGCATTCTGTTTCACAGTCCAAGACCATTTTGTGTGTCTTATTGCATAGATACCTATAGTAAGATCTACTGGCTAGCTTTCCCTAAAGGAGAAGGCAGATGACTCTTCCCGTCTGACATTACAAATCAAATTGCTCTGCCTTTGCTTAGGACTTCAAAACCCATAAAGTTTCTCTTGCTGCTTTGTAGGAGCTTTTTCTGGAATAAAGTTTATATCAATAAAAACATTATATAGGCAGGGGTTTCTGTGGCAAGTGATTGTTGCTTTATTTCTGCTGTAGGGTGATCCCTGCTTAAAGAATCCTTATTTCAGCCAATTCTGTTATATTGAATATGATAGTATTAGAAAGGACTCTTTATACCTCAAAGAATTGTGTATGTGTAAAAATCCAGTAAATTTCTGTAACTCAAGTGTGTTCTGAAGATAACTGAAATGCTAACTAGTGCTCTTGTTATGAGGCAAATTATTGCTTGGCTTAAGCAGCAGCATTTTTTGAAGAGCAGAGCTGTAAAATATGAAAATAGTGTTTATATTTTTAGATGATTTAGTTAATGAATGTGACATTTCTTTCAGCTCAAGGCTTGCATTAGCTTATTTTGGGAACCTGAGGTTGGTTGAAAGGAAGTCTTTAATTCTGCTGCTTTTGTATTTTACATTTTTTCCTTACCTTATTTAAGTAGGTTCTTTAGAACAAGAAGTGGAGACACAAGAAACAGACCAGAGGAGCATTATTTGCTAAGGCTGGTTTTTTCCTGTTGAATATCTTGGCCATCATCTTTTAAGAACCAATAGCTATGACTGGAAAAATCTGCCAACATGTAGCAGTAATGGAATTTGGTATTTCTTCATCAAAAAGCACCAGGGTAATACAGCTTTATCTGAGATTTCTTGTCCCAAAGGCTTCACTTCCTGTGAGAGTATATCTGAGTTAATTCAAGGACTTTGTTTTTCACAGTAAAGAGACTATAAACTTTTTAATTGTGGATTTTGGGAAAATTAATTCAGAATAAAAGAAAAGTAATAAGCCTTTTCTTAGTCAGTGCCATTCAGCAATAATGTAAATTGTAAATATATGGATATGTATCCTGTCCCTGAGCATGGAAGAAGTTCAGTGCAATTTTTATTGGCTTATTTAGCTGATGTGATGAGGTTCGAGATCCTAAGTGAATGGAGCATGTCAGAAAGCAGGATCACAACCCTGGACTTTAGGAGAGCAGACTCGAATCTTTTCAGGTATCTGCTTGGAAGTATTCTGTGAGATACAGCCCTGGAGAGAAGAGGGATCCAGGAGAACTTGTTGGTATCCAAGGATCACCGTGTCCAAACTGAAGAAAGTTCCATCCCAGCAAGTGGGAAAGAAAGCAAAGGCAATAGGAGGCCTGACTGGATGAGCAAGGAGCTCCTTATTGAACCTGGACAAGAAATAGAATTATATATGAATTGGAAGCAGGGATAGGCAGAACAAGTGAAGTATAGAGCTGCTGTTTCATCTTGCAAGAATAGGGGTTAGAAAAGCCAAGGCTGATGTGGAGTTGGGTCTGGCAAGGGACTAGAAGTGCAACAAGAAAGGATTCTGCAAGTACATGAATATCAGAGAGATGACTAAAGGAAACATGAGCCTGCAGCTGAATGGGAATAAATGGTATGGAAAAGGCCAAAGTACTCAATTTTTTGTCTCAGTGTTTAACAGTGATTCCAGCCTTCAGGAGTCTCATGCTTTTGAGACCAGAGAGAAGGTTGAGGAAGAAAGCCTTACCTTGGTGGAGGAGGTCCAGGTTAGGAGCACTGAAACTGGGCATACACAAATCTGTGGCACCTGATGGGTTGCACCCACAAGTGCTGGGAGCTGCTTGGATTTCATTATGAGACTACTCTGTTACCTCAGAAAGAGAAGGGTGAATGGAAGAGAACAAGTGTCACTTCTGTTTCCAAGGAGGACATGGGGAATTGCAAGTTGGTTGGCTCCACCTTAGTTGTTGGGGGGATGATGAGAATCCTCATGGAAACCATTTCCAAACACATGTAGGACAAGATGGTGATTGGAAGTAGTCAGCATGGATTTTCAAAGGGGAAATAATCCTTAACCAACCTGTTTGTTGTGTATAAAGAGATGTCTGGCTTGGTGAATGCTGTAGATTCTGTTCATCTTGACTTTAGTATCTTCCATAATATTCTCACAGAGCAGCTAGCACAGTCTACAGGTAAAAAAATGACTCTACTAAAGGTTTCAAATGAACCAGCGATTTGAGTTAAGACTTAGATATTCTTTGGTCAACTTCTGGTCCTTTCTAGCTTTTATTTTGCACCCTTGCCAATGAGAACTTCCCTTCTTCCAAGGATAATTTACCAACTTTAGCCTTCTTTGTAAATAGTGACTTTAATTCTAAATTTAATTCAATTTTTCTGTATCAGGGTGGTTTTCTAACTAACTTTTTTTTTTTTCCCTGTAGGGAAAAAAAAGAGACCAGGCTGTTGCAGATGATTTAAATAGGGGAAGCAGAGCCATAAACCAGCATTGCTAGCCTGGTGTTTTTTAAGGAGTGCCCTAAATTGGTGCTGTTTTGCCCTGTGTGAATGTTGGGTCTGGGTCCTGTAACCATTTTAGTTGCTGCATCCAGTTCCTCTGTGTGCTGCTTGTTAGGGAAGGCTGCTCCTTCTGGGAGGCCTTGAAATGGTGCCAGTATGCTGTGGCACACTAGTGGGAGCGTTAGTTGGCCTTTGTTGTTCAAACTTGCATTTATGGGTATAGGCTAAAGTAAATTCAGACTATAATGTTAAATTAGTTACTGAAAGCTCAGCTGAACAATTAACATGCACAGATCATTCTCAGGACTTTTGCCTACTCATGCAGTGTACGTTCCAAAGTACTACAGCATACAAATATTTTGATTACTGAGGATGGGAAAAGTTTTAGAAGCCTTGTAGGTTAAATAATACATCTTTGTAACCTTTTTGTGTTTGTCAGCTCTCTTGAAGGCAGCTCTTTCGCACTGTATTTATGTTGTTTTGTGCCATGCTGTCGATGCCCTTTC